AGAGAGAGAGAGAGAGAGAGAGAGAGAGAGAGAGAGAGAGAGAGAGAGAGAGAGAGAGAGAGAGAGAGAGAGAGAGAGAGAGTGATGCAAGGAGCTTCTCCGGCGGAGGCAAAATAGATGATATACGCTTATGCAAGCACAGCTTCTCTAACAGTCGAGAGGGAGAGCCACTGCCAGGTAGCTTGGCTGATATTCTTACCTGTCTATCCTGTGTTCTGCATGCCTGCTGCAATGCCTTTCATCGTGAGGATGAGGGTGTCCTCGAGTCCCGGAGCGTATGAGGTGTCCGCATTGAGCTGAACCACGCCACTCCTCTCGCCCTCACCCTCGTTGCCCGAATGGTTGAAGGACCAACTCCGCATTTTCTTCAATGTAAGTGCTTGCTGCACGTTGAGAGGGGTCGTTAGCGGCTCTCTCAGAATAATACGCTGCTTCAATGCCGGGTTATTATCTAGCGTCAGACTATGACCAGCCACCTGTACAACAAACAGTATGCACAGTTCGATCCAGCAAGAACACCGCATCATTTAGTGTGTTATTTATATTTTTTTCAAAGCTCCGTCTGCGTCCGTCATCATTGTTTTGATTTTTTTTATTTTCATTTTTTGTTGAGATTCTCACCAGCATACTAGGTATTAATTAAAAACTTAATAAGTTCCTGACGACTAATAACCTGCCCAAACGAAAACCCCAGCCGGCGCAAGGATGACACACACAAATGGAGAAATGGTCCAAATGTTGTGGTTACACTGGTTAGCAAAAAAAAAACGAAAAAAAAACGAAAAAAAAACGAAAAAAAAAACGAAAAAAAACCGAAAAAAAACCGAAAAAAAAACCGAAAAAAAAACGAAAAAAAAAGCCTTGTGACTGAAAGATGGTACAATGCACACACATGGTTTTGGAACACTGTGTTTTTCGATTTAAATTAAATAAAAAAAAAATAAAAAAAAAATAAAAAAAAGAAAGATGGCCTATGAGATCTCATTAAGCCCAGTTTGACTGTGGAATCGGAAATTGGAATAGAGGGGCTTTGTTGGGGCTCAGAGTCCGTTCATCAAAAAACTTCTCCCATGGCATAATTGAACATTGGCGTAATTTGGTGAGAAGGTCATATCATGGGCCCATCAGCTTGTCCCACCTGTGCTTAATTGGAGGTTACACATTTTTTATTTTTTTATTTTTTTATTTTTTTTATTTTTCTTTAGCTGCATCTAATAGCTCAGTTTGCCTGAGCAATGGGAGCTTGGAATAGGGGCTTCATTGGGGGTCAGAGTCTGATTTTTTGTTTTTTTGTTTTTTTTTGTTTTTAAATCTGGAAGCCAGGACCATTCTACAGGATCAGATGCTAGCCCTCCTTAGGGGGTGGTCCTGGCGTCCCGATTTGGAATATCGTTTGTTGACGGAGAGCCAGCAATAATAACAGCTATTCTACGTCACAATACACAGCCTAAAAATTAAAAAAAAAAAAAAAAAAAACGCCTAAAGATTAGATCCAGGGAGAGCGCAATCAATAATCCGCCGGATTTTTTTTATTTTTTTTCCCCTAACCGCCTAAAGATTAGATTCAGCGAGAGCGTAATCAATAATCCACGGAAACACAAAGATCAGGAAGCAGTGTGTTTTGAGGGTGCTGGTGAAACACCAATTGTTGCTATGGTGTAACGAGTGTATTTGTTTTTTAACGTATCTGGACAGGCTTCTGGTCCCAAAACATTCAAAATGTTGAATCAGTCCAAATGCATCTGATCTAATCATTCGTGTAGAATGTCGTCTGGTCGAGCAAGGCCCTAGCAAGTCCATGTATGCCTGGAGGTAGTGCAGTATCTTTCTGTTACTCACCTCATATTTCTCCATAATACTATGATAATAGTCCATATCCATTCTCTTTTTCTTTTTTCTTTTTTTCCTTTTGCAATATTCATTCTGGGAACTCGGGCCAACCAAAAAAAAAAAAAAAAAAAAAAAAAAAAAAAACAGGTCCTTATGGTCTTGGCTTCGTACCCGCATTCGAGGGAATCAAGCAAGCTCCTCCCCCCACCCCACCCCAGCCCTCGCCTTCCCGATCAACCACGGATCAGATATTAAACCGATCAGAAGATTCAGAACAGATACAGTGCACTTGATCTTAGGGCCTAGCTGCACAACTCGCCATCTGCCAAAATTCTGAATGAATTTGAATGTTGAACAGTAAATCTGACCAGATGCATCCAAAATGTTGGGGGATGGCGAGTCGTGTGACGAGCCGCTTAGTCAAGCCAGGTCCTACGACGGAAGAGAACTCTTTTTCTCATATAACAAGACGACACCAGACAAACAATCACATCACCTGAAGGAGAAGATCGCGCGTAAGGTGGTAGTTGTGAAGGATTTCCTCTCCCAAGGAGCGAAGCTCATCAGGGACAAGTATCTTGTCGTACATCGATGCGATTCGCGGGTCTCCCTTGGCGAACACCATTTCAACCAAATCCAGTGTCACGCGGAAGAACGGCCACTCGCTGTGCATCCGTCGCAAGATGTCCAGGTTCGCAGGATCCTTTTCAATTGCGTATTTCAGCGCGGCACCGACTCCGAGCCAAACCGGCAGATGTATTCTCGTCTGCGTCCAAGCAAACACCCAAGGAATGGCACGCAGCGACTCGATCCCCAAATCTGAGCGCCTTTTGGACGGCCGGCTCCCAATGTTCATTCGTCCGTATTCCAGAACCGGCGTACCCTGCACACCACAAACGAACACAGCCATCATTTTTTTTCCACAGAGAAATCAGGCACGTCAAACCACCACTCCATCAAGTTGAGAGACACACACACACACACACACACACACACACACAC